AGCACTCGTATTTAGCTAACATATCTATTCGTTATTATTATAGCTACAGTACGACATCACGAATAAAAAAACACGGTCTTAGCAGACCTAGTATAAAACACAGATTTAACAACTAATCGTTAGCAATTCAATTCACTAATTGTTAGCATTCAAAAAGTTTATTGGTAATTTTAAAAACGTTATGTCAGCTCAAACAGCCAGCTAAAAAAAAATCTTTAGCATCAGTAAACAAATTTATTGCATCGTAGTTTGACAAGGCGTTACCATAACATTACTGCTAGATTGTATAATTTATTCTGTACATCGGTACAGTCGCATTTATTCAAAACAAAACTCACCGGCCCGTTCTGACTATTGTCCATTTTCCCGTACAGAGTCCTGCACTGGTACCTTCGTCTTCTTCAGCGGTTTTTTTACTGGAAGGCCAGGATTGGTTGTTACCTTACCCGCAGCTTTATGATTGGCTAGAAAATGAATTCATGTGATTCGCACTCGCAGATTGGTATTTGCAAGAGAAATTGGACTCCTGAATGCAGTTTCGAGATTTGCAATACCGGTTTTGTACCTGAAAACCATTCTATCTTTGTAAAAAATATTTTTATGAAGATGTTTGGTTCCTCATTTACAAAAAATGACGTGTATTTGCAAAAAAATTTTTTTGCCAATGAAAATTGTGTTCAGTGCGAGCAAATTTCTTTTTACGGGTGCAAATTGGAAAGTACACATACAAGTACATATGGCACTATTCTGACTCCATAATCCTACAGTATAGCGTCTACATTTGCAGCCAATTCTAATTAACTCGCCGGAGCGAGTTTCTGTTGCGGGCAATGGCAGACAAGGAAAGGAGTGCAATCCATTGCTGGAAATATAAAAAACATTTTCGATACATTACGGAAAAAGGCACAAATTTAACTGTGGAATGCAGTGCGTGTTTACCGGCTGTAAAGATGTTGTCGACATCTAAACAGTCTATGTCCAACCTAAGGAAACATCTAGAGGTAAGTGCAGCTTATTGTAACTGCAAGCAGTCATATTAAACAAGGCAGGGAAGACATGCCTACCTTCAGCATGCCACACGTGCTTCTAAAGTAAAGTGTAATGACCGGTACACACTGTGTGATTTCAGCAATCTTATAAAATCATTACCTATCACACTGTGCGATACGGATCTAATAATCTTGGCTATGACAGGTATGCAGACTGTACGATGACAACACCAACTCAATCATACGATACGGCGCATAGGACAACAAAACAAAATGTAAACAATGACAGCATGCATAAACACCACAATGAATCGCGAAGTGTGTACCGCGCTTTTAAGCCACACTGGTACTTCTGATCCCGTTGACAGAAAATGTGCCGTCCTCCTTCAATATGCTAAGGTTATTGGTAATTTATGTTAGGTCTGTTATTTGCACTCCCGACATGCTATGTCGTACTGAGTTTTGAAAATTCACTAACTAGCTAACCCCTGGGCGATGCTCACCCATTTTATTTTACAGTGCTGCGAAGACACTGTTTTACGCTACTCCGTGATTTGTGATTGGAAAATTGACTTAAACAGAGTAAGTGATTACACAATCAGCTGAAATATCATATCCTGTCTGATGCAAGAACTGTTCAGATCAGAAGTAAAATGGAACCCTTTATTTTCGCAAGTATATAAAATGTTTGTATCATAATGTAATTCTGAAGCGTCACAGAGTGGTCAAATCACTCGTAGTTTATCTTAGAACATAAGAAGAACATAAGAACTATACAAACGAGAGGAGGCCATTCGGCCCATCGAGCTCGCTTGGGGAGAACTTAACTAATAGCTC